ATTGTCCAGGATGTTTTGTAGATCATCAGTGAAATAACTCTTATTTCCTTTCCCTAGGTTATAAATCTGTATATAGTTTATTATAGGCTTGGCTACAAGTCTTGTCTTTGGTGTGAGATCTAAGGTGCTACTGACCTGGGGTAAGTGGCTGGTTCTTTGGGACTGGGAGTAACCTGACTATTGCTGTGATCCTTGGTGTAAGGGAACATCTGTCACAAAGACAGGCTCACCTGCGTGGCAAGACAGATCAGAGTATGCAGGGGGACTGTCTGTGACTCCGAGGTTAGGCTGTTACATTGCCTGAGGAGTTTATACTTGATAACTGATTGGTGAAATCTAAGCACAGAACTCTCAAATAATTTGGGGGTTGTGTCCTGGTTCTTAAGAGTCTGCCCACAGGCTGGTACTCATGCTCTTGAGCTGCTGCAGGACAGCTTGACACCCTATACACTTCCCCTCCATCTCCCAGGCAGCACAGCACCCTGTTCCCTATACACACCCCTATCAGCACAGCACCCTGTCCCCTATGCACCCCCCACACACCCCTGTCAGCACAGCACCCCATCCCCCATATACTCTCCCTCCATATGCCCCATCAGCACAGCATCTCATCCCCTATGCATCCCACCCACACTTGTCAGCATGGCACCCCATCCCCTATACATCCTCCCCAGGAGGGAGTGTCCCCCATGCACCCCCTAGTATCCCCAGGGGACACTATGGGGCAGGCACACCCCAGCCTACCTGGTCTCATCAATGTAGACGGCCTCTAGCAGTGAAGCTGTGTACTCCAGGTTCTTCTTTAGTTCCACGATGTTCACCTCGCCATTCTCCAGCTGCTTCACCATGTACCTCAGCCTGCAAAACAGGACAGACCTGGGTCACCCTTTGCCTGTGCCAGCACCCCCTGCCTGCCACAGGGGGAACTGCTGCCTGGATCCGTCAGGGCTGGTGCACTGCCCTTCCCCCAGCACACACACACGCTGTCACGGCCCTGGCACTCACTGACTCCTGCCAGCCCACACAGGGACAGCAAGAGCCCTGCTCACCTGCCGAAAGGGAGGCCCTTGGAGCTGGTGTCTGAGCCACATTGGCTACAACAGGAGCAACAGACTCCCACTGTTGCACACACACCAGAATCAGCAGTGGAGCTAGACCCTGGAGCTTCAACTCCAGGGCCCAGCGAGCTGGGGAGTCGCTTTGCCAGGGAGGGCAGTTAGCAGCCAGCTCCCACCCTGGAGGCCTGTTGTCCTGCTTCTGCTGCCAGCATAGATGCGTGTCTAGATGCAGCACAGACGTTCATTCCAAGACATAGATGCCTTGGTTTTGCCCTAGGGCTAAGCATTGGTGCTGGGCTGAGAACCCATCAGCTTGTCTCACCCAGCTCTCCAACGGAGCAGCACTATCAGCTACTAGCACACTGCTCTCCCTATGTACGGCCATATAAACCTCAGGGGAGCTTGCTTATCGAATGCAGTGACCCCTCACCCACACCTGCTGCAGAGGAAGGTGCAAGAATCCCGAAGCAGGCAGATGTGGGGTAATCTGCCCCAATGGAGGGCTCATCCCAAGTCTGACCAGTTACAGGTCAGCTAATGCCCTGAAACGGGAGGTTTATCTCCCTTCAAACACTGTTTGCATCAGCACAAAGCCTGGCAGTTTGGGAACCACGCGCTCAATGGGATTCTGTCTTTCTGTGCGCCGCCCCTTTAAAATTTTCTGGCATTTGTTGCCATCTGCTAGAGAGTCTGCTGCCATTCTGTGCTCTGATCAGTGCAGACTGTTACAGAAATTGCACGTACACATGCACAAGTGTTCTGAGAGTGAAAGAGTAAGCATCAGAGGACTTTACTTTTGTGTTTTTTTCTCTTATTTTATTACTTTCCTTTGATCTAAAATGAAGGTGATTCCAAATGTAAATACAAATAGATTCTGCCCAAGCTTTAGGGGTGGTTTGAAGGGGAAACAAAGTTAACAGATTGGAAAATTCCCATGCAATGGATTTTGTTTGCAGTGGGACCAGTCAGGATCTTTGTTTTGGCAAAGTGAGAGCTTTGCTTCGGCAGAGTCAAGAACCTAGAAATCCCTTGTCATTTGGGCTAGTGCAGCGGTTCTCAAACTGTGGGTCAAGACCCCAAAGTGGGTCGCGAGTTCATTTTAATGGAGTCGCCAGGGCTGGCGTTAGACTCGCTGGGGCCCAGGGCAGAAAACCAAAGCCTGAGCCCCGCAGCAATTTAGTTTGGTGGAACCCCTTGTGGTGTGGGGACGTATAGTCATTTTTGTTGTCAGAAGGGGGTCACAGTGCAGTGAAGTCTGAGAACTGCTGGGCTAGTGCACGGGAATAATGGAAGTGAAATTTAGAACGGGAGTTGGCTGCCTAAACACCTTTAATAATCTGGGCCAAAGTGAATCAGAGCAATGTTGCAGAATGGCCAAGCCTCCAGCATTCATAAATCAGCTCTCAAAAATCACGAGATTGGCTTTACAAGTCTGGGATTTTTAAAAAATGAAATTTCGGAACATTTTTTTGTCTGGTTGAGGACATTTAGATCACCCTCAGGTCACAGTTTCAAGATTTTCTCAATCATGAGGGAGAGAAATATTTTTTTAAAATAAAAGCTGATATTCTCACATGATCACTTGACTCCAGCAGCTGGAGCTTTAAGAACAATGAATACCATGAGACTCAAGATAAAATCACTTGCATTGGCAGCACCAATTTTGTTTCACTTTCCCAGCTGAGTGAAGTGCAAAACGAAGCAAAGTTAATCAGCAGCAAAGTAAATTAGACTCGTCAAATTCATCCTGTTTAATTATCTCAGGTTGAAATTGTTTTAAATAGGATTCCCATCCAGCTAATTACAGTAACAAACATCAGATTCAGACTTCAAGGCCGCCTGGGTTATAACATCAGGCTTAAATTGCCATGGATTTGGGGTAATTCCCTTTTTCAGAGCCTGACTTGAAACACCTGGGGCCTGATTTACACATGAAGCTAGGAACCCCCAGTTCCCCTTGGCTTCAGCTGGAGATTTGGGGGTTGAGCAGAGCATCCCTACAAATCAGGCCCCGAGGTGGGGCCTTCCAAACCAGCAGCCCCTTTTTAAATGTTTGGCATTCACTGTGAAATGCCTCACGGGGCTGATTACTGCCTACGCCCTGTGCAGTGATTGACACCAGAGCGAAGGGCGTTCTGAGATGGTGCATTTCACACCCAGGATGTGCCAGTGCAAATGACATGCACAGGGTTATACTCTGGGCCCCGTATGGTCTTGGGTTTTATGCAGTTTTTATTTCCTACTCGCGCTCTCTGGTGATAGTGTTACTCTACAGCTTGAACCAATAGTCACGATCGAGGTAAGAGCTAGGAAAAATAGGAATAGATCTTTATCTTTGCAGTGGCTCTTTAAACCACCCTGATCCTCCTTTGATGGATGGCAGTGAAGCTCTCTCTGTCTCTCTCACACAGGCACACACTCCCCTACCTCCCTAAATTACTCCTCCTCAGATTAGGAGTTGTCACTCACTTGGAGTTTCTTTAAATCAAAGCCTCTTTCTTGTGCTAATTGAGTTTCCCAAAGAAGGGGGCTGCCTCTCTGGTTTGTATTTCACAGGCAGGAAGGGACTGGTTTGTGTGCTTATCTAAGGAAGCCATCCATGCCCTGACTACCAAGGGAGCTGGAATTACACACTGAAAGAATTCCCAGCTGTATGCTCAAAGGCCAGTGGGTCTGCGCTCCCAGCTAGGCATCTACCCTGCTGGAACTGGATGGGGGAGGGGTGCAGGCTCCTTGCCAGCTGCTCTCTAAACTGTTGACTGTTCAGTTCACTGTTCTAGCCGAAGCTGCAGCAGGCCTGCGGGCGGATCTGTCCCAACGGGGCTGGGGTTTTCTCCTTTGCTGTTACATTTACGAGAGTGATGCAGTGAGGCGTCGAGGCAGGCCCAGCCAGCATGTTGCTGAGAACTTGCATCTTGGATTGGGCTAGAGCAGGGGTAGGCAACCTATGGCACACGTGCCGAAGGCGGCACGCGAGCTGATTTTCAGTGGCACTCACACTGCCCGGGTCCTGGCCACTGGTCCGGCCTGGGGCTCTGCATTTTAATTTAATTTTAAATGAAACTTCTTAAACATTTTAAAAACCTTATTTACTTTACATACAACAAGAGTTTAGTTATATATTATAGACTTATAGAAAGAGACCTTCTAAAAACGTTAAAATGTATTACTGGCACGCGAAACCTTAAATGAGAGTCAATAAATGAAGACTCAGCACACACTTCTGAAAGGTTGCCGACCCCTGGGCTAGAGGGAACCATAGGTTCTGTCTGCAGCCAACAGCCTCAGCACAGTGTGAGCCTGGATGACTCTGCTCCTGCCAGGGCCAGCTCCAGGGTTTTTGCCGCCCCAAGCGGCAAAAAAAAAAAAAAAAGACCGCGATCGCGATCTGCGGCAGCAATTTGGCGGGAGGTCCTTCACTCGGGAGTGAGCAACCGTCCGCCGAATTGCCGCCGAACAGCTGGACGTGCCGCCCCTCTCCAGAGTGGCCGCCCCAAGCACCTGCTTGGCAAGCTGGTGCCTGGAGCCAGCCCTGGCTCCTGCCATCAGCGCATCAGGCTCCTGCAGGCAGGGCTGCCGGGGGGAGGGGGGAAGTGGGGCAATTTGCCCTAGGCCCCGGGCCCCGCAGAGGCCTCCACGAGAATATAGTATTCTATAGTATTGCAACTTTTTTTATGGAAGAGGCCCCCGAAATTGCTTTGCCCCAGGCCCCCTGAATCCTCTGGATGGCCCTGCCTGCAGGCGGGATTTGTGCTTATCTAACCCACCACTCTGGATGGCCCTTTCCCCCCAGTGTGGCTAAGCCACATAGAGGCTGGGGAGCCGGCTGCAGCCTTGGATAACGGAGCAGGGCCTGGGCAGTTAGTGGCCTGTGCTTTTAGAGGTGCCATGTTCTATGTCTGCTGCTCACAACCCTCTTCCTCACACTCAGGCAGCGACAGCACCTTGAGCCGCGGGGACAAGTGGCCTCTTGGAGGGACTGGCGCATACAGCCAGGGCCCCATGAGAACAGACTGCAGCTGGCAGGTCAGTGCAGCTCAGCAGGCAGCAGCACAGTCTATCTCGGAGCTCAGTGAGGCCCCAGAGCAAGCCCACTCCCCTGCAGCTCCCCAAAAAACCCCAGCATCCCAGGTAGGGCTGCTACCTGCCTGGTTTTCACACTGCCATGCTGGCTACCAGTGACAAGATTTAATGTGCTATGCAGCTACTGCTGGGAGCAGGGCTAGCACCTGCTAAGTCCTACCCCGAGGGCCAGGCCCTCAACCTGCCAAAACCTCGGCAGCTCCTCTTGGAGTTGGGGTCCAGGAGCGAGGCTCACCAGCAGGGAGGAGTGAAGAGCGGGGAATGGGGTTGTGGAGGCCGGAGCTCCTGGGAGGGGATAGTTGGGGGCTCCTAGGAGCTGGTGGGCACAGGGGCTTTTGGGGGAAAATTAGCTATAGTTGGCACTAGGATCCTTTTTGTTGGTGTGGGGGTGGCCTGTGGCCATTTTTTCTGCCTCTTGTCTTGGAGATGGCAGTCCTAGTCCCAGGGTCTCTGCTGGGTTTTGCCCTGTGGCCTGATTTCCAGCCCTAGGGACTGAAGATGGGCCTGGGCACAGAACAGCATGGCTGCAGGCTATCCAACCTGATCCCCACAGACCCAGGGTTGGGGGCAGCTCTGCCTCTGGGGCCCTATTTGAATCTTAGCTTCTTTGTTGAGACAGCCAGCAGTAGGTATGGCTTCATGATGGGGGTAAAAACTCACCAGCTCATTTCACCGGTCAGTCCCAAACTTGGTTGGATTTGGTGTGAATCGTGCCTG